GGACTAATCTCTCATGATACTTTTCCTTCATCTCCAAGAAATTTGCACCGTTAGTTTAAAAAACCCAGTGAAAAATGCGCCTGAGTACATTGTATGACTCATAGGACATAGCTGAACGTCTGCAACAATGAAAAATTACAGAAAATATGTTGCATAATGTTGAATGACAATTCAGGTAGCCTGGCGATACAAGCAAGCCATTAGATAAAATAATATTCACACACAACAACTTCTTTATGCTGTTGGGTTGTTACTGTAGCAGCGCAGTACTAATTTCATATGCACTGACTGGTATTGCATACCTGTGTTTCCATTTTTTGTGTACTCAAACATTCTCTTATGCTTCTCCTCTAGTAAAATCCATGTCATGGAAAACATTACTGATCAGGTTGTCGTAATAATAACAGTAAAACGTTTTTTGATGTGGTTGTGTTCGCTGACCTGGATACTTATTTCCGAAGCTTTCATCAGCCTACTAGGCGACATCTTCAGCGCATACTTCAGTTTGAAGTGAGCTTTTAGATTTCTCCACGAGTTTAATAATCATCTCTCCTGGTGATCTTGGACGTGATTGGTTGTTTTTGTGTGTTTTCACACCTTCTAGGTTCCTTGTATTGGAACTGATTGTATATGTGGCTGAAACTTTGACCCTTTGTATGTGAGGTTTCTTTCTTATTGGTTGATAAATTTTGTCTATCTCGATGTGTCTATTGATTGATGATTCACTGGAATGCCAAGCTTCTTAAAATTCTCTAGAGATTCTCTAGACACCTCACACACAAAGGGTCAAAGTTTAAGCCACATAAACAATCAGTTCCAATACAAGGAACCTAGAAGGTGTGAAAACACACAAAGACAACCAATCATGTCCAAGATCACCAGGAGAGATGATTAACAAACTCGTGGAGAAATCTAAAAGCTCACTCCAAAATGAAGTATGCGCTGAAGATGTCACCCAGTAGGGTGATGAAAGCTTCGCGAATCAACCATCCAGCTAGGAGAACACAACCACATCAGAATCATCCACCTGAGCTACAGATTTTCTCCATCATACCTCAATAATAGGTTGATTCTGGACAGTGTTTATATAGTACACGGTGGCTCTTCCCTAAGGTGGAAAAGAAGAAATCTCATTACGGATTGGCATACACTCTAGGTCAGACAACATTGTATCACAGGATCTACTGTCAGTTGATATTTTCTAAACAGCTGTCCAGTACTCGCTGATTTTCAATGATTTTCTAACTGATATCAATCGTGGTCAAAATCGTAAAAATTGATATTTTACTTAAAGATCCTATCAGTAAAAGAGTCAAACTTTATGTCATTTTTCCACTAATCTGAGAGTATTTACATTTGCCTACCTATGTGCTTATATTTTTGGCCTTTGGTGTTCGATGGCTAATATGGATCGATTCGGCCACTTGGCTAGTCATTGATAGAAAAAACAATCAGATAGTAGGCGAAATAGCTTCATGACAATAAAATCAATAAATGATTGCAGCTAGAAACAGGCCTAAATGTGACATGTATGAAAGAGAAAACAAAATAAAATGAAACAATTTATTGACAAAAACAGAGAAATACAGTTATAGCAAATAACTGGCAATTTTTGGTCTTCATACCTTCTTCTCTCGGCTGCTTTGTGGTAAATCCAATAATGTTACACGTCTGATTACGAACTAACAGCACTTAGGGAACCATTGGAAAACTAGAGAGTATTGAACACCCCCTCTGCTCCAATTTAGGACTCTTTTGCTATACGCACCCACCGCCAGGGCTCGAACCCTGCACCTCCTAGTCACAAGGCGAGCTGGTAGATAATCCAGACACTGGGATCCAATCCAAAGACCAACAAATTTCAGCTTCTGCCAATACGCAGTGTACATAGTGTGACCACCACTGGCTGATGTCACTGGTAGGTAACTGTCCTCTTATCCGAATCGATGGACCCCACTGGTTACGATTTCGCATTCGAAATCAGTTATAAAACTCCTTGCTTTTCCAATAGTTCTCTAATCGATTTCAGCTTGTGATCAAACTTGTAACAACGTTTTACTAATGGAAACTGGTGTGCCTCATAGTGCTGTACTTTCTCTTTTTCTTTCTTTTTGAATTGCCTACCGTATTCTTTTAAAGCTAATCTGATTAAAAACTTTTATCATCTAACATTTTTTGTCCAGTTTGTTTCTGTGTTCGATTGTTCTGATATGAATACATCCTCATCTGTGGTTTAAAAATGATCTCAATTTAGTAGTCTTTAACTGAATACCTCGAAATATCATATTGTTAATTTTAGTTTTGGATGCTAAAAAGATCTGCGCGGACTGATTCAGTCCCATGATCACTGTCGAAAAAAGGCGGCATACGACAGTGTGGAGAGGTCCGGTGAGACAGGGACCTGGGAGGTGCGGAATGGACGGTTGGTGACACAGTTCGAGTAACAGGCAGCTAGAGACGCAGCAGGGCCAGGACGGTATCTCTATGTAGCCAAATTATGTACACCTTATCTTCAACGCATCATTCACACAGATCTTCCGTGTTGTGCTAATTCTCGCCTTCGTACTGTGTTTCTTTGTATTCTTTTCACGTCTCCCATGTATCTCCACAGTGCGGTATCCTTTGCTTTCTTCGACATCAGACATATCTCCTTGTTGTTTGGTGTTTTTATGCCGACGAACATCTCCTTATATATATATAAGGATATATATATATATATATATAAGTAGTACACGGCACAATCTCATAAAGAACATTGAAGCTTCTAAGTAGGGTTATTCGTGTACCTTTGGCCTAGCTAACTGCCACTGTTTTCGATAGGCATTTTAATCCTTACAAGCAGTCAGCTAGACTTATCTTGTCTGATACTGAATATCCTCTCCATCTGATAGCAACGTTTTACTTTCATCTCTTCGAGTAAAACCATAAGAAATTTCATTAGCATTTCCGGTAGTACAGAAAAATATAAAAAATCTGCCACAGTATATTTAGCACGTGTTTTGTGTGAAGGAAGAGACCAATGTCAGAAAACAGCTTATAAACCTTTTAAATCACTCACTAAACTGCAAGGTTTAACAAGGATCATTATTATTATTACATGTATTACTTATTATATTGTTTACGTAGTACTCATTATGCTCCACTGATTAATGTCAGTAAAATGTTTGGGCATTGTAGAATAGATCAAATTAATTATAATTATATTTCAACAGTTTACACACAATGATAAGTTCTTTTTGTTTTGGTAATATTTCCAGAAACAATTTCTGCCCGTGATCACATCAACTGTTGCTTGAAATATTACTTAAACAAAAAACTTATCAATTTGCATAGACTACTGAAGTATAATTATATGTCCCACTAACTTTTTGTAACTTAGCAAAACTTCATCTGACTAATTACTGTAAATTTGTAGTCAATATAATGTTTACTTTAGCAGCATGATCCAACACTCAACACATACACTGATGACAATACCAATGATGAATATGCAAAATCACTTATGATTAACTTCCAACCGTAAATACCTAATGCATTCTAACAAAAAACCCTTGTCTACCACCAGGATTTTGAAAGTTAAGCTAAAAGGGGTTTGAGTATTGTAGTAACGACAAAAGGCAAGAGTCAGGCAACAGATCTTGTATTGAGGAAATCAACACGTATTTATAGATTTTTATTTACTTTATTATAGATTATTGTTAGCAGACAAACACATTCTTCTGATTGTTTCTCGATGAAAGTTAATATTTCATCTGTTGTGGCCGTTTCTTGAAGGTCAGATCATCTATCTGCTAATTGTATCCACCTAAGCAAAGTCTACCGTGATTGGTTGTTGAGTCAGTCTTTGTTCTTGCTTTTCTCATGAGCAACATTTGGGACGTAAACATTGACGTAAATTACTGTCTACCAATTTTGGCTAGCAGACAGCTCTCACCACATTGTAAGTTATTAAAAAATAAGGTAGATATCCTTCAGTAATCTGAAGTTCATGGATATCCTCACTGAAGCCATCGCCGCACATTAATGAAGTATGTCAAACTAATCTGAAGATAGTTGTTCAGTTCCTATCTACCTCTGTAGTTAGTCATGAATTTAAAAAAATTGAACTTTTCAAACTACAGGATGAAACTATTTTGGTTCTGATGAGAATTTGTAAGAAGTAGAGTCTACCCAGTCAGATATTCACCAATTAGAATGGATATCCATTTTGCTATATTCTGACTGACACAAGCTAGACAGAATTCAGTGGTAACTTGATTTCAACTAACTTAGCCTCTGAATATCAGCGTGATAATCTCGTAACCTCAAATTCTGTTGATTCAAATACCCCAAGAAATTCGTCACTAGTCGACACTACTACTGAAGGGTTTGAAATATTATTTAATAACAAGATGTATCTGTTTTTTGCTATTGTCGTCTAGTGTATTTAGCAATAATTATCTAATGCTGTCACGTTCTGTGTCTATGTAATCAGTTAGTTGGCTACTTATTTTCTTAGTTTGTAAACGAGTTATTACGTAACATGTATGAACATTCAGTCAAGCACATTGAAAACATGCATGAATAATTACAGACAATTTTTTCTATCTTTTCGCAACTGTTTGTTTTAAAAAATAGCAAGTAGAGCACCATGTTAAAACCAACAGAGTTTGTTTATTTTAGCCGAAATTACTATTATTATTATTATTATTACTGTACAGGCTTAAAGGTGAAAAACTATTGTATAAATCGGAAACTGTGTCATGTTTGGAACATTTGAACAATAAATGAAGCACCTATTACTATTAATGCCATTCGTACTGCGTATTACATAACATTACATGACAGCATAACTTACCTCACAGTCATTCATTCAAAGATACAACATTGGTGAATGCATAAGCCAATAAAGTGATGAGTGGGCTGACGAATAAACGGACGTATTGTTGAAAGAATACTGAAATGTATTGTCCAGAGAGCATTACAAACCACAGAATTCTACAGTTCCTATAGTTCATAGCCTTGAAGAGAAACGTTTTCCGTCTGTTTCTCAAACTTCTGTTCACCAAAAAGTCACACATACATTCATATAATTCTATTCCTCTTCGTGATTCATATTGATAATGAAAATACAAACTCCATATTTCAATCAGTATTATTTATTGAATGTAATTTTATATGCATTCTTACGTGCTGAAATAGTATTCCTATTATCCAACCAACGTCCATTGAGGGTGAGTGAATGAATGAGTGAATTAGTAAGTGGGTAAATGCGTACGGTTCATTGATGATTTTAAACCTTTTTGGTTATCAAAAGAATGGCTACTGAACAAAGAATATTCCTTTCGATAACTCCTTCTTCATCTAAGTCTACAGTTATATGAACATAATGGTGAATAAGTTACATTTAGATAGCATGAAAATAACAGAAACTGGATATCAGAAAGATTAGGAAAGATAATAATACAAAGTTATGGATTTATTGTCTACACTGAATGCCGGCCAGGGTAGTAGTAGTGGGTGGACTTACTTCTTCTGAACACAGAGCACTGGTTGTTTACGGTAAATCGTGATAGCCTCCGGTGTTCGCAGTATGCGGTATCTGGATGCTTTTGATACCCGGTAGGTGATAGAGAAGAGCTCTTCAATGCTGGCCGGTTTGAACCAGGTGGTCTGTCATCGAACTGTTGACGGTTTTTACTACACCTTTACTTAGCCACACTGGTAGATGTTATCAAGCACAAGCTCATCCTTTTTGTCATTCAAATGGTGGATTTTATTTGCGATTTTGATTACCTCAAATGCAGGTTTTATCACTTAAAGAATCACTGAGAGCTCTACTCCCTGTTTACTCTTGGCTAAAGAGTATTCACCACTGACTGTTGCTTTCTATGTCTACTAAGAACAATAATTGGTGGCAACGAGGTGTGAAAAGAGATGAATTCCCAGTTGTAAACAAACATTTATGTCATGTATCTGGTCGATCACTGGGTGGTAGAACACTCACCAACCAGATAAGTGGTCAAGGTTAGATTCTTCGCTGAGGCACTCCTAAACCGGGATGAAAAGGGACGTTGGATGTAAGGATAACAACCATTGGTTTTAAAACTTCAAAGACGAAAATACAAGGTTCTATATTTCACTTGGAGCTATGTCATGTATAGTCTTTTATCATGCGTTGACTATAAAGTGGTCAGTTCACAAGGGAGGTAGTATATAGTAGAAACTAAACAGTCATTGGTTATTTTATCTGTTTGTCTCCTATCCTGAACTGCATGAATCGATTCTCGAGGAGTGATCTGTTCCTTGTTGGTTGATATGTCAATTGTCTGTCGCATAGCAGATGTAAAATCCCAAATAACTGACTTACCAGTGAGTTGTTTACCTCTAGACATTGTACTACTTAGAAGACGGGAGTAGATGTGACTTCTCAACGGAAATAAATGTGAAGTGACTTTCAACCTTCATTGGTTAATTAACTGATTGGTGTCTGTGTGTGATGATATTGAAATCAGCTGATCACGTGCAGTGCAGTGATGAGTTTTCTTTATCATGTGACTTGACTTTCAGTTCTTCACAAACTCAGAGTTCACAAATTGTTAGGTAAGTAGATGTGTAGCTGGATGTAGAGAGGGGGTGTGTGAAATGGAGGAATATATAAACAGACCGGTTATTGATGGAGCACAAATTGGATTTGTAATCTCCTGCTTTTTATTTATTATTCGGTTTGAAATAATTTATAGTGAATCTGCTACTTGTGTAGTGTTGCGCACATACGTGTATACCTTGGGTTTGTAGGAAGTATGTCACCTGCATCCAGAGATAGGAATGGATTCAGTGTTATAACAGGCATCATGTGGATGTTGCGCTTGCACTGTTGAATTAAACCGATGAATTTCAGGCCCCTGTACAGCTGACGACTTTTTGGTTTTTGTGAAATATTTTAATTATTACCAGATATTCCATACACTTAGATGTTATCACTGATTTCAGTAATAGTCATTCTCTTACAACAGCAACAATCCAATAACACAAAAGGAATTGCGTACAAACAGTATTCAAGAGGTCAAGGACTCATCGTAGCACTCCCACCTTAAGGAAAATTGAAGAAAAATGTCTCATAGACGTCTTCCAAAAGAATGGATATCCACGGAACTTCATGAAAGGACATATACCCCCAAGTCAACTAATCGAAACAAAAGCCCAAAAGGAAAGCGCAAAGAAAATAGCCTTACCATACATAAAGGATATCTCAGAAATCACTACAAGACTCTTCAAACCTCTAGGAATTGACTTCGTACACAAACCAACAAAGTCGCTTCACTCAGTTCTATGTCAACCAAAAGACTCAACAGCAAAAGAAGATAAAACCAACATCATCTACAAAATAAATTGTAACAACAGCGAAAAACACTACATTGGCCAAGGTGGATGTCCCCTTCGTCTTCACATCCACGAACATAAGCTAGCCGTCAAAAGACATGATATCCACTCCCTCATATCACTACATACAGACAACCACGGACATCCATTCGAATGGGACAATGTTCAAATATTAGGCAGAGGAAACAAGAAGAATGCTAGAGAATTTTTAGAAGCTTGGCATTCCAGTGTATCGTCAATCAACACGCACATCGAGATAGACAAAATTTATCAACCGATAAAAAAGAAACCTCACACACAAAGGGTCAAAGATTAAGCCACATATACAATCAGTTCCAATACAAGGAACCTAGAAGGTGTGAAAACACACAAAAACAACCAAACACGTCCAAGATCACCAGGAGAGATGATTATTAAACTCGTGGAGAAATCTAAAAGCTCACTTTGATGAATTGAAGTATGCGCTGAAGATGTCACCCAGTAGGGTGATGAAAGCTTCGCGAATCAACCATCCAGCTAGGAGAACACAACCACATCAAAAACAGTCATTCTCACTTAGATTTATGAATATATTTGCTATTATCTGACAACAGCTAAAAATACCGTTTCCAATTTTTATTTGCCACACAATCGTGAATAATACTGACGTTAAGCGTAGAATGCTAGGTAAGGAAGTGAAGCCAGCTGGTAGAGTTGTGAAGCTACATCTGTTGGGATGTCTAGGACACGTGTTGGTCGTTTCGTCACACCTCATTCCTTGATGAGCAATGCTAGATAACATAGGACCAGGTGAGGAAAGACTTAGAGGTGTTCATCACTCAACTGCCGAAGTGATAGTTGATTTAAGCTAACGGTGTAGGGATGTGTTAAAAGCCTGGTTGGCGTCCACAGGATGTTGGGAACCAATGGCTGGAGATTATTAGTGGCATACTTCAGAATTGTTCTGAGTAGAGGATATGCGTTCCCTCTTTGCGATCTTATCTATAAAACTTTCATATTCTTTTTCTGGTAACTACTCTTCCTCCCATATTTCCGCTCTAGTAGTAGTAGTAATTATGAACCTCTTTCTCTCTTTCTTTTGTCCACCTTTGTGTGCAGCATGGAATGCCTCAACTTGAACTGCTGCATTTCTGTGCAAATTTCTATGTTGAAGCTTAGTCAATCAGATTAAAATCAGAGACATTGTTTCCTTCATTAAGGATCGAATTCCAGAGTACTTGTCTTTGATGGCATGTCATTGAGTTTCAGGTTAAATGATATTTATAATTTTTTTAATACAAAATTACTGCTATAGAACAGGTCTTCTTTAATGCATGAGAACCATTTTCAAGAATTTCTGCTGATATTATCGTATATAGGGACATTCACATTGTATTATCTGATGCGATATAACACATACTACTTCCAATGTACAGTATACTCCGAGTTAATGTGGTAGTGTAGTGGTGTGATACGGACAATGTGTTCCAACGGAATAACATTCTCAGATATTTCCACAGTTCAACACAGCACCTTTTTATTCCTTCACAATCTCAGTCAAACATAGGGCTTCAAGTTAGAGGCTTGAAGTTTCTGTAGCAGTGGTGATTCGTTTTACAGGATGGGGTTGTTAGCCTCATGACCAACCTTCCCTCTTTACCAGCTTTTATAGTGAGGTAAAGGAGTGCGTTAGCGGTCGGGGATCGAACCCCGGACCGTGTGCATGGTGGGCGAGCGTCATAACCACCGTGCCACTGACGCATGCAATATGGTATTAGCAACAGAATACTATATATATATATATATATATATATATATATATATATATATATATGGACATTCTATTTGTTTACTCATTATTCACATGTCTCTCAAATGAAATGGCTACAAGAACACTAAATGAGACATACACTGTTAATATAGATAACAATTCGTTAGTGATCATAAGAATGAATGTTTGCAAAGTTGATGCGTCAAAATTTTGTTCTGTGACTACATGTTACATAATGTATGATTAAGATTCTCCTATTTAGACATGCTAAAATGCAGTCTGATTTGATGTGTTCATGAATTATATTGAAGTTTCCTCCGAGCAGTTTGTCGGGATTCCTCTTTATCTGTTCTCATCATGAAGACTTTAGCCAAATTTTTCTCGATGTCCATTTTCATATATTACGTTTTCTACTTTCCTTATTCCATCCTCAGGGTAGTGATGAAATTTCTTTTGTATATAAGAGAAACAAGCAACTTGAAATAGGTGCATTGGCAAACTTATTATGTTTTCCAAAGTAAACCCAGCTTGATAATGCCATTTGTTTTTGGTTCTGGTTAGCAAAATACCAGAATATGATGTAATATTTTTTATCTCAGTTTCACATGTGAATCCCATTTATGATTAACAGACTTCAGGGGTAGGCAGCGATGTCTATTATTGATCATTTGTTTTGCTGATCATTTGGGGTTCTACGTTTCAGTTACACTCCACTTACTTTAGCAGGGGCGATAGATCTATTTTCATCAGCTCTCACACATAGTATATTCAGCTCACAGTCTAGCACGCAGAAAATATTTAAATGAGTCTTTAACCTGAAGTGAAGTCAGACAAAATGTAACATATTTTCAGATCGTAGTAAAAAAAATCAAAGAACTACTCTGTGACCATCTGACTGACTGACTGACTGACCGAGTGACTATCTCGTGTAGCAAGTGAATCGTTAGGCAACACAATATAATTTCATAAAAAATCAATAGATGCTAGACTAGATGTTCAGACTACATGAAATCATCCGTTTTACGAGTGATGAGTGTATATGTATGTATAATTAGCTTATTACTTAGACACATAATTATGCAAATAATTTACTGATTGATT